TGGAGCAGCCTCCTGCACAGAGGCCATAGGGAGTGACCACGTGGCAGAATTCCCTCTCACTGCTATTGCACTTTGTCTGGGACATCAACATCAGTTTATTCTATCAACACTTCATTTTTTCCCCCAAAAAAGCTGCTTACAAGAAGTTTTTGTATCACTTTGATACCTAGTACAGGTGAAATGGTTTATCTTGAGAAATTGTTAAATACCTTTCTGGAGATATTGGCTGTGTTTGACCAAAAGTTCCAGGATATTTTCTTTGCTGTTATTTACAAGACACAGCTCAAATTGGATTTTTCTGTTTCATCTGACCTAAAAAAAAAAAATCCTTTCCATTTTTTAATCCTTCTTAAATCATAATTACAGTTGTAAAATGGGCTGTCATTCTCCCAAGCAGAGGTTTACTGGCTGAAGATGGAGCAGGGAGTGTGGTGCATGCCTGGCTTTGCAGTCATTTGGTGCTCCAAATATAGAGACAGCACTGAAGGAAGCAGCAGAAAAATAGAACTGATGCTGCTGTGTTTGTGCTACAGATAGAAATCAATATCATATTTTTGATGAAAGGTGGGAGCTGCAATTCGTACTTGTAAAGGCAACGTGTCAAAAATCTATGTAGCATTAACAAAAAATGTTCATGAACTACTTGGATAAAAGTTATTTTCTTCCATTCATCTGTAAAATCCATTCTGCACCCTCAGCTGCAGCCCCTGAGCCAGGCAGGCTCACGGGAATTGCCAGCAGGGGAATGAGAAATATTGTGCAGAGCCAGCACCAAATGTCTTTGCACTTGGACCTCAATGGGAAATGCAAAGGACTCTGCTCACATGTTTGATGACTGTTTCAGTAAATTACAAAAGTCAGTGTCTCTGCCTGTGTATCAGGATGATTTGCCACTGGGAGCTGAAATTGTGCAACGTTTCACTACAGCTGCTGCTACTAAAGAAAAAGCAGATATGTAGTCAAGAATTTGTTTAGGGGTTGCTAAATATTTCATTTAATAAATCTACCTTGTCTCATAACTGGAAATAGTAATGAGAATACTTTAATTATCATTTCCTCCACCTTTAATTTTCAGGAAGATTTAGGCAGTGCTATGCATATGAATTTAAAACTTCATAACACAAAGAGATTAAATCACTAACAAAAGTATGTGGATGCCTAAGTAATAAAAGGAGAATATCAAAGTACACAAAAAGTGAAACACTACAGAAACCATACCATAAAAGTAAAGAAAATTTGAACATTTTTTGTGTTCTCAGGCTTCAGAGGCTTTTCCACTCCCCAGAAGTGCTCCATTCTCTAGTATTACACCTCAAGAACAAAGTGTACATAATCTGAAAATTGTGCAGTGCTGGTGGTTGGATTTTGTGGGAAGAGTTAAATTGAGGCAAGACTCCCAGGTTTTTACCTCAGTCCATCCCCTTTTCTGGTATTCCTTTAGTATTATTGATACTGGTGACTTAATAGTATTAGACTATAGTGTCAAATAATATTAGACTATAATAATATCATTATAATATATTTATATATTACAATAATTAGTTACTATAAGTGACTAATTAATATATAATAATACTTATATTTATATTAACTATCTATTAAATATATTAATTCAATATATTAATTATTAATATATTGTTAATATATTGTTAATACATGTAATAAAATGTTAAATAACAAAATAATAATAAATAATTTTTTTACATATAATAAAATGCTAAAATAATAATTAGTCGCTATAAGTGACTAATAATAATATTGGACTATAGTGACTAACAATATTTAGTATTATTAGAACTGGTGATTAATTGCACCCATCACCATTCTCTGTTGAATTTTCCTACAGGTTTACATGCACATGACCCAGGACAGTGTGAATCTTAGGGTTAAGTATGAGCAGGTGGAAAGCAAGCAAGAGTCAAGCTTGCTCATGGTGAGCTAGATTATGCACTGTGTAGTTGAAAGGAATAAACAATGGCTGTGATGTATTATCAAGTAGCACAAGGTGCTCAAAAAGGCAGAGCTCAGTTTTAGAGAAATGGGTCATTTTCACCTGGTTGGTTCTGCCACTGGAAGCTCTGCATGTCCCCTGGGTTTGCCTGCTTGTGGAGCAGGATGAGGAACAGGAGCTGAGAGCCTGGGCTGCCCTGTCCCCAGTCTGGGCAGAATTTTCAGTCCTGCTGGGCAGGTGGCAGCAGCTCTGTAACCAGGCAGCCCTTGGGTAATGCTATTACCAAAATGGGGGCAAACAAGGTTCCTCACAAAGGCGCACTTTGGTAGGAAAAGCAGCTTTACATAAAAGGTGAAGTGTTTGTTTATCTTGGGAGCGTGTGCCAGGAAGGACCAGAGGGTCACACAGAGCAGTCTGCAAGCTCCTGATTATACCATGGCAAGGTCCTGATCCAATCCTCAAAAATAAATCCTTGCTCTCTGATACAGCAAGAGAGATTATACACACAACATTTGCCCTACAGTATTTCTGGAGTGTTGTTTTTATGTTCTGATTGCAATATTTGGGAATGTTGTAAAGCAAGTGTTGCTCTTCTTCAGGTGTTGTAGAGGGTGGGATGTTGGAGCAGCCAGAGCAATTCAGCCTCAGCTAACACTCCCTGTGTGTCTCAGTAGAGGTATTTAATCTGAGTTAAAAGAGAATTTTATATTTTGTCTACTAGTTTAATAAAAGAGACATTGAGACATTACAGTTTGACCCAAAGAAAGGATACAGATGCCACTGATTAAAGGGGTTGTTCCTGCTAACAAAGAAAATTACATTATGTTCTCTTGCAATGTATTCTACCCTTTATAACCTTCAGAGCAAAACAGCTACATACAGAAATCAGGAACTGTGTGGCTTACTCATATCCCTCACTGTTTTATATTTCTCAAAGGGAAGGCAGAGGATACCTGAGAATATTGTCTGATAAGACAGCTTGGTCAATGTCTGTGGGTTTAGACTCTTTGTGGTTATCAGCAAATTGCAAAAAACAATTTCTAATCTTGACTGGAAAAACAAAAAAATCCTGAGGAAAAAAGTGTGTTGTTTTCTGAGATGAAACAATTTCAGTCACCCTTGGAGGCTAAAAAGTTAACATTTCCTTGTGCTGCTACAAATATTTCTCTATTTCCCCCAAGTGTACTAAATCAATGTAACACTCTCAACTGACTTTGAGCATTAGGACCAATAAAGTTGGATCCTACTTTATCATGGTGTTTTGCCTCTGAATTCACATCTAAACCCACCAAATTTAGCTATTAAGCTAGAATAAAGATAAAACTATGCTGAGCTAATACTCAGTGGATACAAATAAGTGGAGTTACTGAGCAAAGTTCCACATACAAATGCTTCATTCCACAGTATCCCTCACATCTACAACTCACCATTCATAGTTACATTCGTTTTTTAGAATCAGAATTTTGTAGCTGTTAATTTATAAATTAAACATTATTCACTTTGACTCCTATTATTTGTTATCTTCCATCCCTTCAGTGGATGTGTGCAGATTCAGACATGGGAGAGGATTTAGTTTATGGTGACCACATTAACAACAGAACAGTTTCACCCAAATATGTTGTTCCTTCCTGCATTAGCATTTTTTTGCATTAAAAGGATATGGTTTCATAAAATGTTATCTACTGCTTGGTTTAAATACATCACTTTACAAAAGAGAACAGAAGCATTTGTGAATGCATTTTATAAATTAGAGAGATTTTTAGCAAGGACACGTGAGTTTGTTTGTCAGAGCCCCCATGTGGTGCAGACAGACTGAAGGGATCAATCCCATTGCCTTGCCCATGATTCTCTGTCCTGGCACTCTGGAGTGATTCATTTTCCATGCTGCTTTAGTCTAAAGCTTCCCAGGGGAGGAGGCTGCTGCCTGCACTCATTCAAAGACAGTGCCTGTCACGGGTATCATTTAAGAATTAATTGTTTGTGACACACACAGATTAAATAAATAGGACTGAATAGATCTTGAGTGTTGAACTGGGCTAAATTACCAGAAGGAAGAATGTAGGCTGACTTCTTCTCTTAGGAACTACACAGGATGGATGCAGGAAGTGTCCTTTAATGACAGATCAGAATTCTTCATCTCTCCATATCTGACTGCTCAAGCCTTTTACAAGGTAGACATCAATTCCCTGTTTAGTCCTCAGAGTGCCTTCAAACAAGCTGATTTACAGGCCATGTGCTAATATTAATGTTAAACTATCCTCATGGAGCACAAACTGTCACCACTCTTCCCTCTGTAAATGTTTTACAGAGCATTGCTTCTCTTTGTCTCAGGGAGATGGGAAAGGCAAATTGTCAGTAAATGCTGACCAGAGGAGCAGGCTGCACTGTCATAGAGGGAAGGAATTGTATAAATCATGTTTTCCTGAAGCCCCAGGACAGCACCAATATTCACACAATATTGGTGAATTGATTATTGCAGTATTGATTACTGCACCTGACTCTTGGTTTGCTCTGCCAGTCCTGGCTGGAGAAGTCCCCCAGCCTTTTTTTGCAGGATGCTGCAAAGTTCCCAACCTGCTGACCCTTCCAAACCACTCTGCTGGGGGAAGGAAGGCAGATTGAGAATGAGGAAAAGCCAGCTCTGTGTTCAAAAGCTTTGTTCATCCACAGGAAATGGGAATTGTTCTCAGGTAGAGCGGCTGGGGAATCATTCAAAACCAGGCTGGATCTTAACTTTTCAGCTCCTTTTGCACATACAGTGTTAGGCAGAAGGGCCCTTCTGCTGCTGCATTTTTCAGCAGGGAGAGAGGAGTGTGTTTTACACAATGGTTTTGGTGGTATTTTTTCTTGCTTTATCTCATCCCTCCAGTTTATGGCAGCAATTTTCTATTCAACTCATTTCTTAAGTAATTATCCTAAGTGGTACAACACTATCCCATCATTCTTTTCATGAGATATACATTCACCATTAGAGATAAGTTTTGCTTCAGAGAACTAATCACAATATCAGAGAATATGACAGTAATCCCAAACATGTCTGTTTTGTCAGACCACCGTGTCTTGGGATGGAGATAAGCTGCTCTGTGTGCAGAATGGAGAGAAGGAGGGCCGTGGTTGGACCCAGTGGATTGAAGGAGATGAAATGCACCTGGTAGGAGCATGCAAGAGGTTTGGAATGCCCCTCCCTTCAAATGGTTACCTACAACACAGCAGGGAATGTGCTGTGTCATTTTGGCTTGCTTGGACATAACTGGGTATTGGTGCAGCACTTGAATTGTTTCTAAAGCAACAATTTCATTTGGAGCCATTATGTTTTTATGTGCCTTTCAAAGCTCAGTGTCTGTCCAGACTCACCAGGCTGAAATGTTCACATATTTACCAGAATGTCCCTCACAGTCTGTAAAATGCTCAGTATGGGAGCTGTGAAACTGAGCACCCAAAAGCAAGGGAAAAAATACACAATTGTTCTCTTAAAATAATTACAGGCCACACTACATTATAGCCTAGAGAACTAAAATGGCAATTAAGCTTTTGAAATTGATGGTTTTTTCAGATTGTCATTTTTATCTTTCTAAATTAACAGGACTTGAAAGAAGATGCCTGTTCTTTTGTCCTATAACTCTTTATAGCATCCTCACTCTCTCATCAGTGTGGGTAAAAGGCAGTGTTCCTGCTGGGATAATAAACTCCAACCTCCATTTCTCCTCACTGTGCAGTGCTATTAGCATTCAGCAATCTAAATTGATATATTCTAAATGTTCAAATCAGCACCAGAGTTAGCAAATCCTTGCAGAAGCACCTCAAGCCCCCTATTACTAAATATAATTTTGAGGAAGTGTTGGTGGTTCCAGAATGCAGCTGAGGAGAGGAATGGCTATGACAGATCTCCCCAGCTGGCCTTGGTGCAGCACAGGCAGGAGAAGGTTGCTGTGTGAGTGAGGACTTCATAGCTGAGGCTCAGAAACATGATCATGGAAATGAAATAAATTGGCCAGGATGTTGGCAATTTAAGCAAAAAGTCTTGGTTTAACAAATACTGTCAAATGTCACAACAGTTCACAATATGCTGTCCTCTGGGCAAAATAAAGCCAGAATATTTTTCTGCTTTAATTAATTTTTAGGAAAGAAGTGTCCACATCAAACTAGGTCAAGATGACAAATCACTGTAAATAAAGTCTGCTATGTTGGTTCTTCAAAACTAGGTTCTGCAATATGTTTTTGGTCCAACTGGGATTCCACAGCACCCCGTAAACCTGGCTGGGCAGTCCATGTTAACTGTGGGAGCAGGGCACCAGAAAAGATTCAACATTCAGCCAATTATTACTCTCCTTCCAGAGGAGAACTAAAGTGTTCCCTCCTCACCTGGAGGAGGGGAGGCAGCAGTAAATGAGATACCCAAATTTCCTGTGCAGGCACACTCCCCCCAAGAAGCCCCTGTCAGTATTTCCACACTGTTGGGGAAGATGAAACAGGAAAGCATTATAAATATGATTGCTTGGCAAAAGATTTTGAAGATATAGAAACTATAAGCGAGATTGAAATGAAAGCAAGCTTTGAGATCCCTCAATTACTGAACAACTGGAAAACAATGGTGTGGCTGGCTGAAGGTAATCCCCTCTTGATAGAACACCCTCTGCTTGCAGACAGGTCCAAGGGCCAGAGCAGACCCTGCCAGCTTGGCAGAAGGGGCCCAAAGAGGAGTTTTTAGGGTTTAAAATGTAGCACAGTATGGTAATGTAATGATTCTTATAGGCTGTATGTAAATGCTATAGGATTTGTATATTGTACTAGATCGGTGAGTGAGAATCAGAATATTAAACACAGAAGATTTCTGGTATTGGACTGGGGACTTCACTCTCTTATCCCTTTTACTCTCTTATGCTTTTGTTCTCTTACCTTCTCATCCTCTCTCCCCCTCTCTTCTCTCAGTCCTGCTCTGAGCTGTGGCTGCAGCTCCCAGCAGGGCCCTGCACCCAGGCCCTTTGCAATGAACCCCAAATCCCAGCAGGGCCCTGCACCCAGGCCCTTTGCAATGAACCCCAAATCCCAGCAGGGCCCTGCACCCAGGCTCTTTGCAATAAAACCACAATCTGTCTCCCATGTGTGCAGAAGTTCAGTCCAAAATTAACTCATGCAAAAGAAGTGACCAATTATTTTAGAGCCCACTCCTCAATCTTTCAATTTTCTCACTTCTGTTAATTCATGGATTTCAAAAGATGTCCTCTTTATTTCTCTAATCTTGTTAATGCAGCTCTCTCCCTTAAAAGTACAGTAGAGTCCCCATTAGTATCTTATTTTTGACCAGCTAAGATTACTAGGTCCTGTCCTTTTGAGAGAGCTTTAATGCAATGAGCAGTTACCTTTAAAGAATGGATACTTCAATACCTTTATGATCTTATTGAACTTTACACAATGAGCCAAGTGTTAATTTATTCTTTTCACAGTTCTGCAGAAAGTAGAACCACATCCTTTAGGAGTTTATCGCTTCCTATTTCCTTATTTCATTCTGTGGTCTGTACTTTGTAGTTCTTTTTGGATTTTATGTGAGTGACTTATTTGACCATTCCCCACTTCCTTTTGAGTTTTATTGCCCTTTTCTATTGTATTGATTGCTTCTGCTCCATAGTTTTTTGTCACTGTCAGCAAATCTCTCAGCCCTTATTGCACACTCCTTCTTCTGGGTTTCCTCTGCAGGAGTGAAGAGAACAGGTCCCAACCAAAATCACTGCTCAGTCTCTTGTTCCACCAACTCAGCATGGAGCATTTTCTCTTGTTGGGGTCAAGCAACATGTATTGTAGCCCCACATTTCTCCTCACAGAGGAAAGCAAGGCACAAATCTTCCCAAGAATATTTCTGGGTTTCACATTCTCTGAACCTCAGAGAAAGGAAACACAATTCTTATCATTTGCTGTGCCTGTGTTTGTGCCAAAGCAGAATGCAGTATGGAGATTGTTTACCCACAGTGAGGGTGTTTTGTTTCCTTGGCCTGTCAGGGCCAGGTGTGTATGTGTGTGTGTCAGGACTGTCAGCTCAGAGTCACGACTTTCTGTGCCGTTGAGTGCAGTTGAGTGCTTGCCAGATTCAGTTTATATGTATAGAATAATAAAGTTTGATAAAGTAATTAATTCACCTTCTGATATTCATAGAGTCAGATGCATCATTCTCTCCCCTTCTTCAGGGTTCCCAGAGCAGCCATAATATGTCAATTAAGATTATTGACCTAGTTCAAGGTCTGCACCTTTTAGCAGAAAACAAACCCAAACCAGATGGGGTTTTTTAGGATGAAGAATAGGCTAAAATATGTACAAACCTCCCAATTTAATTTAATAGAAAATCACAGATTCAAATTCAACTGGATATACACATGAATCCATAATGTTTGTGTCCTAAGTAAAAATTGTAGTTTCTAATTATTTTCTCTTCCTAGGAAATAAGAGTGTGTGGAGTCACATGTAAGCAGGTCTTCAAGAAGGTGCAGTGAGCTTCTGCTGCTACAGGAGTGAAAAACAACAGAACAACAGAATTTACTGACTTGCCAGCAACTCTCCAAACGTTAGCACTGAGCATCCTCAGCAACAAGAGCAAACACAGAAATGAAGATCACATTAGAACCATATAGTTGGAATAAAATATTTTTAGGAAACTGAAAAAAATGACTGCAAATAAAGCTATCTTTAGAAATGCCTATTAAAGATACTTTATAAACTCTCTAAATGTGTGCATACCATAATTCTTGACTCTGCCAAAAAAGGACTATTAGGTATAAAACAAGATGTTGGAGGTTTAGACATTGTAAGCTATTTTTTTACTCTCAGTAGATTTCACCCTTTTACTCTCAATATCACCCTTTCAGAGCCTCAGCCTTGTTTTTAAATGGTGGACTGCAGTTTTAAGGAAGCAAATGAGAGCTGTAGGATGCAGCTTGCACTTAAATCCTGAATTTACTGAAGTCAGTAAGAATGTTACCATTAGCTCTGGTGAAATAGATCTATACTAGAAGTGTTCCATCAAAAATAAAAAATCTGATTTCTCCAAACTAGTAAATTTATGGATGAAGATTTTGGAAAAAAAACCAATGCTTACAGAAGCATGGCTAAGGGGCAATGCTTTTCCAAATACTTTAGCCAATATCTGCCCATGCAATTTTTTTATTGTTGTTGTTCTGGAGACACTGAGAGTAAGGTCAGAGCTAGAAATTGTCTGTAACTGTACACACAGCACACAGAAGATGAGACCAGCATTGCTTTGTACAGTATCATTTGTACAGTATCATTTGCAGATATTTTATGCCCATCACAGTCCCCTGTTCTCGTGCACACTGAGAGCCTTGGCCTGGCAGGTGAAATCAGACCACTGATTAAACCTTAGTGAGGGCAATAACACTGCCAGATTTTCATCAACGCACTGGGTACAGTGAGCACCACCAGCTCACATCAAATCCTAAAAGGTTTAAATTCACAAGGCTTTAGCATGTAACCTGGAATTCCAGGTGTCTCCAGGAGCAGCTGTTATCAGGCATTCTCAGGGACTCAGCCAGTGGGGAAATTACCACAGCAGAGCCTGCTCTGAACTGGGAACATCCCCTTCCATGCTCTGCTCTGCACTGGGACCATCCTTTCCATGCTCTGGAATGGGACCATCCCTTTCCCTGCTCTGCTGCAGCTCCTCTCCTCAGCCCTGCTTTTGCCTTCCCCAGGGACTCAGAGCTGACTGGGGCAGTTCAGACCTGTAAATGGAACAAATGTGCCACCCTCGCTAACCAGAGCCTGTTTTAAAACCTGCACTGTTATTAATCCTGCTGAAGAAAGCCTAGTCTAACATGGAATCCCAGACTCACAGAATGGCCAGGGGTGGAAGGGCCCTCAGAGATCCGACCTGCCTGCCATGGGCAGGGACACAGCATGGAGAAAAGGAGGCTCAGAAACAGCCATTGTAGAGTCTAAAGTTTGCACAGCAGGGATGGCAAACTTTCTGAACTCTGTCATTTCAATGGTGTGCCACCAGATGTGCTGTAACACACATCTAATTCCATTTTATAAAGATTTGGGGTTTGCTTTACTTCAGAAAGTACCCAGAAGATATTACCCATGAAGACTTAAGCACCCCCATGTGACAAACAGGTGAATAATACTCCCTGTCCATGTAAATTCTTGTACCACTCAGAATTAAAGACATGCAATCAAATTATTTATTTAAGTTCCCCTGTAATTCTTTTTTCTTGGTAATACTTATGGCTAAGGAGGTTTCTGGGAAATGTATTTGAGTCTGATCAGCCAGGGCTATGCAGAAGCTGCTTTTCTCTCCTGGAAGAGTGTGCTAGCCAGCCAGCTGTGTGTCCATAGCTAAATGGATATCCCAATAGACAGACAGACAGACCACCAGTTCATGGGGATTGACTTTTCTTCTACTTGGAATGGGACAGATCAAAACTGGTTACAATTAAATAAAGCAGAAAGGTTTTAAGAGAGGGAAAGGATCAGACACCTGTGGATCTTGGGCTAAAATGCTGCTCTGCTTAAGGGAAACTGCAAATCCTTGCCTATTTAAAATGCTATATATCATCTTACACAAGGTTGAGGATATCCCAGCTGCCAAATTTCAGCACATCAGTCATTTGTTTTCCTTGGAAGATTATTGGACACAGAAACTTTTTTCCTTAAAGTTACTAATTATTGATTTCATAATCATGGACACCCTCCAAGTATCTTTCCACTCTTCAGCCCCAAGGAGAGCAAGTGAACAAACAAGTAACTGTAATAAAGTGATGGCTCACACCTCCATCCCCAGATAAAATTGGCAGGATTTCTTTTAATGCTCAGCACTGACAAAGACCTTTTTGGAAATGTGGTTTTCCTTCAACAGAACTTGGCAGTTCATAACCCTTAATTCACCAGCTGTCTTCTAATTTTTGCCTGCATTTCTCTCCAGTCTTGTGTAACATTCACAAACTCTTCTTGCAGAAGGTTGTAAGTGGATCAATTAACATCTAGCTAAGTAAATCCAATTGTTAAAAGCTATTATTATTGCAATCAAACAGACAGCTTTTCCCCTTTGGGTCATTTGGTACAAGGGCAAATTTAGCACCACACTAATAACTAATGGCTTATCAAGCAGAAGCAATGTAACCTGCTGCTAATTATGGAGGAAAGGCAAGCCTACAGAGCACTTCCACAGCTCATGGGTGGAAAATACAGAAACTTCAGAAATGTTTAACTTTCAATAGATTCTCTTCAAATCATCTCAATTGCTTGTCATTATAATTGTAACCTCTTATCTCAGTGCAGCAACCCTTTCCCTTGGAAAAGGAAATGATGTTCATCCATTGCTTCCATGACAATGCTTTCCAATTAATGTGTGTAAAAATTAACCACGCTGTTTCCATGAACCTTTAACTACTGTTATCATGAAATGTAATTTAAAACTTCCTCCATAAAATAGATACTTACTGAATCATAATAGAATTCAACAATTATTTGACAAACATTTTCCTCCCTATTTCATAACTACGTAGTAACCAAGACCTTCACAGGGAATTCATATCCAGATTTGCTTGTGATTCAAGAATCAAACTTCATATTGATTTTCTTGATCTTCAACAGGATTTTAGCCATGGTTTGCCAATATCCACTCTGTATTTCTACAGAACTGCAATACCTTCAGATAATGGACATTTTATGTTTTGTTAGTGCCTACAGAAGCAGTGTGAATGGAAAGTATAGACAAAGCAGACTGTTCCCACTGTTGAGAAAACACTTTTTCTCTAGGTGAACCTGCATCCTACAGGTCCTTTGCAATGTAATTCCTCCCGCCAAACAGCCATTCTCTGCTTTGTCCATGCCACTCAGGTTTTCTTTACCCCTTCCAGGATATAAACTTGGCTGTCCCCATCTCTTACCAGCTCAGCCATGGAAACCAGAACTGAAAGGAGAATTGGGGTTCCAGTCCACATTTGTGCAACAGTGCAGCTCTGAAGGGTGGGGAGGAGCTCCTTGGGATGATCTGTGTCACACTTTGATTGTAAAACAGACAAGGAATGGCAAATTCCTCACATCGGATTCCCAGAGTGTCCCATCGGACTGAGCACTGGGGCACAGCAGAGCCCTGGTGTGGCATGGATGTGCTCCTCTGGGTACATCCACTTCCAGCAATGTCTCCTCTAGGAAATTTGACAGTAAAAAGCAAGAGTTCACCACTGCAACATTAATAAAACTTCCCAGAATGTATCATTTTGTATTATATTCTCAATTGGATAGCCTCATCTGTAACCACAGAACAGATTTCCAGCTATTCATCCTTTCACCCTCTAATTTGTCTTGGATTATTATCTGGATGGTACAGCTATTTCTATTTTAAGAAGGTTTTTTTCCACCTCAAAGCAAATGTTTATTTAAATAATTTGCTCCTGTCTAGCAAAAGTGCACACAAAAGTAGAGTTCCTTCAGTATCATGTATTTTATTACCAGGGCTTTTTCTCTATATTAGTAGCTAATAATAAGAATCCACACTGAACAATTAAGCAAAATACTATTTCAGTTCTTCACCAAACCCTTCAGTAAGACTGGTTGGCAATTAAGTTTGTGCCCCATGGAGGCAAAATAAAATCCCCCCTTTCAATGGCAACATTCTTATTAAAGGAAGGGAGGAAAGAAGGATAGGAAACAGGCTGTGATTATTGACTCTACACTTATTTACATAACAAGAGACCATTTGTCTTGTGGTACACCCCAATCCTAGTGCTGAGCAAGTAAAAGGTCCATATTGTGACAAGAGCACTCCAAATTTAAAATATCTAATTTAAATATTCAGGTATTTGGCATTTCCAGCCTGGAGCAGAAGCATGAGCAGTTATTTGTGTGTCCATCAGCATCACAGAGCAGCAAACATTTAAAACTTGTGTGTGCAAGTGCAGAACAGGTGGTTACACAGCCCATGGTCATCAGCAGCACACTGCAAAGATAAGCACTCCTTTAAATGCTTTTAGCTTTCTTGTACCTGTTTGTTGTGCCTTTCTTTCCCCTCCAGCTACAAAATTCAACAGTGCAGAAGAGCAGAGGTGAAACACGAGTGATGAAGCCTTAATGCAAAATTGTACAGAAGTTTGGAGTTAAGCAGAAAAGTTCCTCTCCATCCTGATGTTCCCACTGAATTTTTCTCTCATGCAAGTCAGGATTTACTACAAAAAGGAAGAGTTTATAACACAGTGCAGTCACCACTGTAATTTGGTGAGGCTCAGAACCACAGCCCATGGGGAGAACTCACTGGAATTTAACATTCCATCAAGTACAACAAGACTCACAGCAGTTCCTTTCTCCCCTTCTCTAATTTGAAATCACCATGATTTGAGTTACATTTTCTTACCAAGGCACTGGTGCTTGTCACCCATAACCATTCCAATTTCCAGCACTTCTCTCCAGCTGGGCATGCTAAGGGCACGCAGAGGAGGTTAACAAACTCAATAGAACTTCTGTGGAGGGACTGTGTGATCCTTCACCCATCCTGGCACCAAACATGCTGCCATTCTTGGTGCTGGCATTTCCAAGGTTATTTTTGTGGAGTGTAAGAGCCAAAATGAGAGATGTAGGACTCCAGGGGCTCTCCAAAATGCAGTTTATTGTATACAAAATGCAGTTTATTCCATCCAAGAGGTTACAGCAGCCCAGGGTTGTGGGTGACAGAGCTGTGCCCACAGCTGTCAGCTCCAGCTGCAGGCAGCC